TCTGATGTTTTCAGGGCTGTGTGGACACGCAAATCCGACCTGAGCCACTTTCATATGTGGTCCTAGATCAGATACGTATCCGATTTGTGGCCATGTGACCTTAATGTGACGCTCAGATTGGATTTCATGTGCTTTTTTTCCACAGCGTTACCATGGCAGCAGCGCCAAACAGACGTTAAAGCCTGTAAATGGTGGAAAAGCAGCTCATCTCACCTTTTTCTCCTTCGTCTCGCTCTAATAATGAAGCTGAGAGCTGATCAGAGTTAATGATCTTCTCAGCGAAGCTCGTTCTGCTCGTTAGTTTGTGCTGATGATGAACGTGATTCGTTCACGTGACGTTACTGAGTAGGATGAGCTCATGAGGGTCATTTCAGGACACCAGTTCGTCACATTAATGACAGATTTGAGTCACTTACATAAACGAGTGTGAACCATCCTGTCAGAGAGATCGGATTTGATCAATCAGATTTGAGCAGTGAGGCTTGTAATGTGAACGTAGCTTGAATGTGTTTGATTACTTCAGAAAATGATCAACCAGCTTCTAAGACTGAACTTTGGAGGTGTGTCTGCAGATTCTTTGAGGAACTGAAAGTGAGATTCCTGAAAAGAATGGAAGCTGGAATGAAGGGGAACAGTGACTCACTGAACACTGAACAGCTGAGATTAGACTTACTGGTCAAGGCTTCTGGGTAACATACTATTAAGTATGTTTTGTCTGCTTGTACTTAATGGCTGTTTTGGCTGGAAATTAAATAAACAAATATGAAGTCTGACTTTTGCACAGTATAACTGTGGATTATCTAATCTACACTCTTCGTAGAGCTTTAAAGGAACCGTTTGTTAAAAGGCTGAATTTGCACAGTTTCCATAAATGTAGTCAATCAGCCAAGTGTACACAGTTTTAGCACTGGAGCTACGAGGATGATGTGCTATATGACACACTGATATCTACATAAATGGACAGAAATTTGTCTCATACAGTCTTAAAAAAGATGGTTCTTCAAGGGTTCTTTAGTAAAGACAGTGGTTTTATACAGAACCATGAACACTCAAAAACACTTGCATGCTTAAATGGTTCTTTTCATGGTGCAATGGTTCTTCAGACTGATGGAGAATGTGATGTAGATGTTTCTGTATAGCACTAAAAAGGGTTCTGCTATTGTTATGATATCAAGCTTCTACACTCTAAAAAAAAGATGGTTCTTCAAGGGTTCTTTACGAAGGAAAATGTTTTATTTTGGAACAAGGATATGCAAAGAACCCTTCACATGATTACACTCTTCAGACTGATGGAGAATGTGGTGTAGATGGTGCTACATAGAACCTTTTTGAAAAGGGTTCTATATAGCACCCGAAAGGGTCCTTCTATTTTTACGATGTCAAGCTTGTTACAATAGAACCCCTTTGGGTGATATATAGAACCCTCTTCATAAAGGTTCTGTATCCAACCATTAATGCCACATTCTCCATCAATCTGAAGAACCCTTTCATGATGCAAAGAACCTTTTAATCAAGCAAATGGTATTTTCATAGTTCATGGTTCTATGTAGGACCATTGTCTTTACTAAAGAACCTTTTAACATAATTTTTGAGAGTGTGTACAGTAGAAGAACCCTTTTTGGTGCCATACGGAACCATTTTCAGAAACACATTCTCCATCAATCTGAAGAACCATTTCACTATGCAGTGAACCATTTAGGCAAGCAAATGGGTCTTTGAGTGTTTGTGGTTCTATATAGAACCATTATTGTTACTAAAGAACCCTTGAAGAGCCATTGTTTTGTAAAAGTGTAGCTAAAACAGTAACAACAGCCATTTTGAATCGTGTCTAATTGTCCATGTTTATAGATAACAGTGAGTCATTCAGTGTCAGAAACCACATAGTCAAGTCTGTTAGAGACACTGAACACCTTTAACACGGTTTGAGGAGAGTGTTTGATGACTGAGGCCTGCAGTTGATTAGTTATAAGCTTCTGTTACTTGTTAGCTACTTTAGCCTGGTAGCTAAACCAGAGCCGGTTTATGAAGAATCTGGCCTCTTCCTATTTGTCTCGTTATATCAAAAACAGGACTGCAAAACAGCAGAGGGCCCTCAAACGCATCCTCAATGAATGGGAGTAAACGCAGATGAATGGCTAAAAATGAAAAGTTTAAATAGTTTCTAATCACTGAACCAGAACTTTCCTTTAATTTTAGAAAGTAGAAGGATTTCTGTCTCAGAGCGACGCAGAGAAACTTGTTCATGCATTTGTTACAAGCAGAGTTGATCACTGTAATGATCTTCTGGACTTCCTAAGAAAACTATACATCCCTTACAACTGATACCAAATACAGCAGCATCCTAACAAAAACAACACAGAGAGATCAGATCAGTCCTGTTATAAAGAGCTGCACTGTCTGCCTGCATCGCTCAGGATAGAGTTTAAAGCTCTGCTACTAGTTTTTAAAGCTCTAAATGATTAAATGAGTGTCTGTCTGTTTATGTTCCTAATCTAAGCTCTGCAGATACTGACCTTCTATAAACACCCTCTGTAAAAGGGAGACTCTTTCAGTTATTCTGCCTCCAAACTGTGGAGCTCAGTTCACCTTTTATTAGACAGTCGAGCTCAGAGCTCACTTTTAATAAACATCTAAAAACGAATCTCTTTAACTCAGCATTTAATTAAAACTCTACATCTCGTGGTTTTTATCTTCTAATCTGATCTGTTTCATTTTCTTCAGATTTTAAATAAATACTAATGATTTCTTGTATAACTATGTTTTATCACCTGTCTGTAAAGCACCTTGAGCTGCCACCAGCATGAAAAGAGCTATATAAATAAATATTATTATTATTATTATTTCACTAAAAAAGCAAAGAAAACTCACCTGTATGTTTCCTTTTTCTACAGCAAACGGGTTTTGGGCAGCACGATGCTAACATTACTGAGTGCTGATTGGTTATCATTACTGCTACTGAGTGCTGATTGGTTGGCGAGCAGAGCAGCTCATTGGCTGTTCGTATCACAGACGTCATGAACGTCCATGAGGCGCCGTTTTAAACTCCTATAACTCGAGTTTAAAAGCTCTTAAAAATATAACAGCAGTGTTAAAATGTTTTATGCTGCTCTGTGTTCAGGAAATGAATGAATTCTTTTACATTAAAATGTTTAATCATTTATAAACTATGATTTTGGTCAAATGCTCCATCTTAACCCATTCATTTTGGACTCGCTCGGAGCGCCCTCTAGTGTTTGAGAAACCCAGAAGACATTACAGAGTGGAAGATCTCCTCTCTACAAGTTCTCTGGCTAAACTCCAGACACTAAAAATATCTAGCCAGAAACTGACCATTGATGAAGGGCTAGAGGATGGCTAACACAAACCACACATCAACAAGCGAAGCTACAAGGTCAGGGTTTCTGATAAACTGGCCAGGGAGGGTGTACTGCAGCTGTATATGAGCCTCGCACAGTGTAAACTCCTGCTGAGATCTTGCTCAGGTATGTGACAGATGATAAACAGTCGCCCTCTGGTGGACACTGTGGGAACATCTTAGATATATTAGTCCAGTGTTTTCAGCTCCAGTCCTGTTCAGCTGTGTGTTTCCTGCACTGCTGTAAGACTGCGCTGAAAACGGTTCTGCTGAAGATGCTCAAAGAGAAAAACGGCTGCAGATGTTGACAGAAAAAAACAAAGATCAAATAGACCTACAATGAAGATCATTTAAATGGCAATAAAAACGAGAAAGTGATTAAAAGCGCTTTTTGTTTCTTGTGTCAGCACAGATGTGTTCAAACAGATTGAGCAGCAGATGAACAGGGAAAGTATCAGCCACGTGTAACTTTCACGGTTTCTACGAGGAGCATTACACTCTATACATTATAATCTACAATGTGGAGCATCAAGACGCCCAAGAACTTCTCACCGCAGGTCTGTTAGCACCTAAAACACGACTCGGTACGCAGAACACAGCAGAACAACAGAAGCAGGAAGGAAAGCCCCTGTAAGCATCGCTGAAAAATTCACAAAGGGCCGCTAAAGTATAAAAAATCTACAAAATGATGGAATTCAGTGCTTTTGATGACCACGTCTTCTCTGTGTTTGAAGATGTTAGATTTCATGACACATTCTGTGCATATGGTATATGTAGGGGGGGCAGTCGTGGGCTGGTAGTTAGGGAACCAACCTTGTGACCATCAGGTACGTGACCTAACCCCCAACTGCTCACCAGGTGCCATGGATAGGGCTGCCCACCGCTCCGGGCAAGTGTGCTCACTGCCCCCTAGTGTGTGTGTGTTCACTAGTGTGTATGTGGTGTTTCACTGCACGGATGCGTTAAATGTGGAGGTGAAATTCCCCGTTGTGGGATTAATAAGGGTCGCTTTAAGTTTATTGAACATGAACTGTTTGTATTTATTTTGTTTTCAGTTTTCCATTTCTGGCCCAGTGTGTCTGGAATTTTGGTTTCCTTTTTATTTCAGTCTAGTCCACCATTACTGATGATTAAATCGATTTAGACCTCAATCAGGTCTGTCAGAGCAGAAAAACATCCCAACCTGTGTAGGTGGAATACACAGAGCCATGAGTTGTATTTAGAACGATCTCAAGCCTGAATGGTTCTGTGCATGATGAAATGGCTCTTCAGATTGACGGAGAATGTGCTGTCCGTGTATTTTTGAAAATGCACCAAAAGGGGTTCTTCTGTTGTTACAATGTCAAGCTTGTACTGATAAAAGAACCCTTTTTGTAGCTATAGAACCATATTCACCCCTTAACCCATTCATGTCCAACAGCTAAGTTAGTATGATGAGGAAAAATGCCACCGATCTTGAGCTGGTTGATCAGAAACGATGTAATGTTGTTGAATGAACATCTACAGTAACGGTTTTTGATTTAGGCTTCAATTTCATGTTCACAGTCAAACTTGGATGTTCTACTGTTGATCATGTGATCATTTGAATGATTATTAATTCAGTTTGATAAATTACCATCTGTCTCTCTGTCTGTCTGTCTCTCAGATCAGGACGACGCCGATGCCGAGGCCTTTTTCTACCTGCTGATCTTGTTCTCCACCGTCAGCTCTCTGTACACGCTGATCTGGGATCTGAAGATGGACTGGGGTTTATTCGACCGGAACGCCGGAGAGCACACCTTCCTCCGCGAGGAGATCGTCTACCCGCAGAAGGTACGTCAGAGTCAGCGCACAGAAACAAACTCACTCTCTGCATAAACACGACTGCAGACTGAGCTCGATACGCATGAAACATCAGACGTCTGGAGTTATTACTGCCAGTCTACTCTGCAAAACATGGTTTTAAATGAAATCTAGTTAAATAAATCTTAAATCTAGTTGATATATATAGTTGATATATCTAATATTTCCCATTTTGAGATGGTTGTGCACTGAGATTATTTAGCTTATTTCCAGAATTTTCTTACTTTTTTTAGATCATTTTATTAAGTAAAATTATCTCACTATGCCCTGCGATGGACTGGCGACCTGTCCAGGGTGTATCCTGCCTTCCGCCCAATGACAGCTGGGATAGGCTCCAGCACCCCACCGTGACCCAGAAGGATAAGCGGCTTAGATGATGTGTGTGTGTGTGTGTGTGTGTGTGTGTCTCTTTATACTAGTAAATAATTTTACTGGTTTCAAGCTCATTTCTTACAACAAGCACAATTATCTGCCGATAATGATAATTTTAGGTGATAAAATTACTTAAAACAAGTTAAAAATGTCTAGAAAGAAGTTAAATGATCTTCCAATAAGTGCACAACGATCTCAACAGGAGAAATATTCGATTTTTCCCTGGATTTGAGATTTTACTTGACAATATACCATTTTTCGCAGTGTCCTGTCATTTTTACTACAATTACTTACATTTACATTCAATCCTTCTGTTTGCTTTGATGTAAAAATTGTCAGCTAAAATGTAAAGGATGTGTGTCTGCAAAACATTAATGTTTTCCATTAACTCTTCCATGGATTTATGATAATAATAATGAATCAATCAGTAATCAATAATCAATAATTAAGCGTAATTATCCGTAATTGATGACCCTCGGTTTTATTAGTGTTGGTGAAAAAGTAGCCGGTAACACACAGATAATTGATGGCTGTTTTTTTTCCGCAGCTTTACCAAGATTCAGTCTCATGATCTCCTGATGACATATAAACACATAAAACACAAAACTTTCTATCAAGAAGCTAAAAATTAAAAATAAGAAAAGTATTAATAAATTAGCAGAAACTGAAATGTAAAGGTTTCTGGGCAGCTGCGCCACCAGGTCACCAATATTTATACTGTCTAAGACTGTGATTTTCAGCGGTTTGTGTTTTGTTATTTTTGTAAATAATACATTTACGATGATTATGATTTTGATTTTTACACAAAAATCTGCATCAATCAACCAGTGAGATGTAAACAGAGTGATTCAGAGTGGTTTGGTGTTCAGATGTCTTTACAGTGGTGGTGATAGGAACCAGGGGTCGCCATGACTACAACACAAATATAGACATTTTATTTACTATCCAGAACCACCAGTGAACCTACACGAGTCTTCTGAGCTTATATGAAATGTTGATGATGGAAAATAGTGAAATAATACGTTTTCTTTGGGGACTATTTGCCTCACAACACCCTGCATGTATCCCTCCACAGTTAACTGATTTTGAGGCCAACATTTAAATTTACAATTTATTGTCATAAAACAGTGTCAGTCATCAGGCAGTGAATTCATAACCATTTCATGTAGTAACTTTCTGTGAGGGAGCTTTTAGAGGTGGACGTCTGGTTCCTATCACCACCACTGTGAACAGTTCTGACTCGGTAAGTTTCTCTAGAACGGGGCGTTTCACACCAAACCACTCTGAATGACTCTGTTTACATCATAACCATTTAATTATGCAGAGATTTAGAAAAATTGGTGGAGTTTCCCTTTAACTAAAACTGTTTGTGTATAACCTTAAAATCTAAAGTCTAAAAATAAAATGATATCGGCTAATATCAGTTATTCAATGCAAAAAATTACAATTTAACAAGTGAAAAAATCTTAAAAGTAGTCAGTATATCTAATATTTCTCATTATAAGATTGTTGTATGAATATTATACATTATTGAACTTATTTCTAGACATTTTTACTTGTTTTAAGATATTTAAAGAGTCCTATTCCAGATTATTTTACTTGTTTCGAGAAATAAATATTTAGATAATTTTGCTTATTTCAAGATGTAATGAAAGAAGAAAAATGATCTGCCAATGGAACAAAACACTTAAATCAGATAAAATCACTTAAAACACGTCTAGAAATAAGTTCAGTCATCTTATAATATTCAGACAGGAATCTCATAGTGAGAAATATTAGATATATTGATTAGATTTAAGATGTTTTCACTTGCTAAGATATTTTTTGCAGTGTAGTGATTTGTAACGCCCTGAAATCGATGTTAGCCACATATTCATATTGTTCAGGCCTGAATAATCACAGCATAATAATATTCATTGTTCACTGCAGGCGTATTACTACTGCGCCATCGTGGAGGACGTGATCCTGCGCTTCGCCTGGACGCTGCAGATCGCACTGACCACCATGACCAACATCCCCTCCATCGCTGACATACTGGCCACCGTCCTCGCTCCACTGGAGGTCTTCAGGTACACAACACTCGGGTCTACACTGTTAACAATTATTGAGCGATGCTGTAGAAGAACCACTTTTTGAAGAAACCAAAAAGAACCTCTTAATATATGGTTTTCCTTAAAGAACCATTTTTGAAAATCAGATGTTGGAGAAAATGAGTGTGAAGAACCTATTTTAAAGTTTAAAGAACCTCCATCTAATGTAAAGGTTCTACAGCAATCACAGGTTCTACCTGAAACTGTGTTTCCAAGCTAAGAACCATTTGGGAACCTTTATTTTTAACCGGGTGTAGTTTTTTTGTTGCTGTTGTTGTCATATGACTGACCATTTTGTGTTGTGAGAAGTTTGAGAACCCAAATTTTGACAAATATTTATTATTTAGCACCAGATAAAGTGAGAGACGGTGAATTTTTGCCGTCAAAGAAAACATGAAGAAGCAAAACGAAATCAAGACAGGCGACGGCAGAAAACCTTACGGCTACCGTAGGTTCTACTACACGCTTAGACAAGGACGGGTGAGGGAGGGGATTCAGCTGGTTGCAATCTGCAAACTCACCACTAGATGCCACTAAATCTTACACACTGCACCTTCAAGGGAAGCTGGAGCTCAATTTAGTTTGTGCTCAATTTTATTCTACATTTACCTTTATTTATAATACCTACTATCACAGCATTCATAATAATACTGAAACCTAAACCCTTAAACTAACAGAACCACACTTAAAACTGAAAACAAACAGAAATCAAAAACGGAATAAATTAAAAAATGATTAAATTTAACACTACATTAACCCTCCTGGCCGAGCTGGGTTAGTGTTTACAGTGTATTGCTGATAGAGGAGTATGAGTACTGTGTGGTAGAGATGTGTGGATGTTCCTGCACCTTCATCCACTGCGTGTCTCCTTTAGGCGATTCGTGTGGAACTTCTTCCGTCTGGAGAACGAGCACCTGAATAACTGTGGTGAGTTCCGGGCGGTGAGGGATATCTCCGTAGCTCCGCTGAACGCAGACGACCAGACGCTGCTGGAGCAGATGATGGACCAGGAGGACGGAGTGAGACACCGCCAGGGCAAGAAGAGCTGGAAGAGGAGCTACAGCCTGTCGCTGCGACGGCCGCTGCTGTCCTCACAGTACGAGCTCTCGCACTCACACACTCACACACTCACACGCTCACGCACTCACGCACTCACACACTCACACACTCACACACACACTCACACACTCACACACTCACACACTCACGCACTCACACACTCACACAGTCACACACTCACGCACTCATGCACTCACACACTCACACACTCACACGCTCACGCACTCACACACTCACACACTCACACACTCACACACACACTCACACACTCACACACTCACACACTCACGCACTCACACAGTCACACACTCACACACTCACGCACTCACACACTCACACAGTCACACACTCACACACTCATGCACTCACACACTCTCGCACTCACACACTCACGCACTCACACACTCACACACTCACACACACACTCACGCACTCACACACTCACACAGTCACACACTCACACACTCACGCACTCACACACTCTCGCACTCACACACTCACGCACTCACACACTCACACACTCACGCACTCACGCACTCTCGCACTCACACAGTCACACACTCACACACTCACGCACTCACACACTCTCGCACTCACACACTCACGCACTCACACACTCACGCACTCACGCACTCACACACTCACACAGTCACACACTCACGCACTCACACACTCACACACTCACGCACTCACACACTCACACACTCACACAGTCACACACTCACACACTCACACACTCACGCACTCACACACTCACACAGTCACACACACAGTCACACATGCACTCACACACTCACACACTCACACAGTCACACACTCACACACACACTCACACACTCACGCACTCACACACTCACACACTCACACACACAGTCACACACGCACTCACACACTCACACAGTCACACACTCACACAGTCACACACTCACACACACACTCACACACTCACGCACTCACACACTCACACACTCATACACTCACTCACACACTCATACACTCACACACACACTCACACACTCATACACTCACACACACACTCACACACTCACGCACTCACACACTCACACACTCACACACACACTCACACACTCACACACTCACACAGTCACACAGTCACACACTCACTCACATACTCACACACTCACACACACACTCACGCACTCACACACACACACTCACACAGTCACGCACTCACACACTCACACAGTCACACACTCACACACTCACACAGTCACACACTCACTCACACACTCACACACACACTCACGCACTCACACAGTCACACACTCACACAGTCATGCACTCACACACTCACACAGTCACGCACTCACACACTCACGCACTCACACACTCACACACTCACACAGTCATGCACTCACACACTCACACAGTCACGCACTCACACACTCACGCACTCACACACACGCACTCACGCACTCACACACACACTCACGCACTCACACACTCACACACTCACACACACACTCACGCACTCGCGCACTCACGCACTCACACACTCACACACTCACGCACTCACGCACTCACACAGTCACACACTCACGCACTCACACACACTCTCACGCACTCACACACACACTCACACACTCACGCACTCACACACTCACACACACACTCACGCACTCACACACACACTCACACACTCACGTAGGTGTGGGCAGATCAACACTATGACTCGAAAGTGCGCAGTTTGATGTAAATACCTGAACAGAACTGACAGACAGACAGTCTCATGCAAATGTTTGTGCGTCCTGGTCAAATTCCATGACATCCTGTACAGCAGGGCTTTCAATCTCAACCACTATAAGGGCAATATCAAAAAATCTCAACAAATCTGTGGGGCAGTGAACACTTACAGTTTTATTTGCTTGACCTGAATTGGCCATTGTTTATTGAAAATATACCAAAACTGCACCAGCAAAATATAGGCACTGAAATATTACACAACGATAAGGCATAACATTATGACCACCTCCTTGTTTCTACACTCATTGTCCATTTTATCAGCTCCACTTACTATATAGGTGCACTTTCTGCAGTAGTTCTACAGTTACAGACTGTAGTCCATCTGTTTCTCTGAAAAAGGGGGCTAACAAAGTATCAGAGAAACAGATGGACTACAGTCTGTAACTGTAGAACTACAAAGTGCACCTATATAGTAAGTGGAGCTGATAAAATGGACAATGAGCGTAGAAACAAGGAGGTGGTCAGAATGTTATGCCTGATCGGTGTGTTTCACCTTTATTTCTTTTTTTCGTCATCCTTTGTAAATTAGCCTAGTACTAGTATTATTTAACAGTAATATCATAAATAAAGCTGGTTATACAGTTGTAACCAATTTAGCAACAACATTTTCAACAGAATTATTTTATAATTCTATTATATCACATTAATTATTTTCTCTCAGTTGTTTGTAATATTTGTTGTTTATTTTGTGCAAAATCTGTTCGAGGAGATTAAAAAGTAGTTAGACCTTGTCTGCAGGACAGTAATCTGGGTGGTCCGAGGGTGGGCTGGCGAGGGTGCTCGCTATCTGGGCAGCTCTGATTTGGTAACAAAAGCAGCATAAAACCTTTACCATTACATTGCAGGGTTGATTTGACTTCAGGTAATAATCCGGAAGGTATTTCACTCAGTATAACATTAACTGTTTACTTCTGTTTACACTGTACGTTCTGCCCACCGCTAACGATACAGACGCTGCTCTGATGGACTGCTGTACCTTGTGTGTGTTTATGTCGCAGGTCTAAGAAGGACACCAAGGTGCTGATCGAGGACACAGACGACGAAGCCTTCAGTTAAAGGAATAGATTGACCAGACATGCTAACGCGGCTAACAGTGAATGGAAGGTAGTGGGAGCCAGTTAGCATGATGACATTAGCATCGTGCAAATTGTTGCCCACTCGGTTTCATTCATTTTTAGCAGAATTAGCATTTTTGGAATGAACTATTCCTTCATACCCAGAGCAGACGGTCCACCTCCCACCCGCATCATCACGGAGCTGCCTCAGCATCACACCCAACCACGCACACACACACACATACACACACACATTCACAGACACACACACACACACACACACACACACACACATACAGAGCCGAGAAAGGAGCACAATCAGCACTAAGACAACATATGCTGACATGTACACACACATAAATACACACACAAACACACACAAACACACAAACACAATGTAATTTTTAGATTTTTTAATTTAACTTTTTAGAATTTTTTTAATTTCTCAATGGTAAGACGTTTTGGTTTGTACATTGGTTTTTTAAAGGATTTATTAACACATAAAAATAACAATATGACTGTTTACAAACACATAATAACCAAAATCTACAGGGAAAAAGCGTCATTACATCAGAAAATCAAAGACTAACCTTCCACTAATAAAACGCTTAGCATGGACTTCGGCAATGGACTATTTACCACAACTAGCAAACAGCAGCTTACAGCGCGTTATAGTTGTTTTTTGTTTTGTTTCTTTTTTCTATTCATGCTTTTTTGTAATTTTTTCTGATTGAGTTCTGATGTACAGCCCTCCGAGCACTTGCAGGAAAAGTGCATCGGTTCAAAGAGAAGAAACAACAGCCCCAAACATGTGGGATGAAATCTGAATCATGCAAAGCTGGTTTTATCTCCAGTTCCACACTGTAATAATTTCATAGATGTCTTATTTATTTGTGCGGAGAGATGTGTGTGATTGTTTATTTTATTTCCACGAGCAGCTGAGGTTAAACTTTTGCTTTTTTTTTAAATCTGACACTCAACTGTCCTCAATTGGTGGTTACACTTCCCTGACCTACACTACAGGCCAAAAGTCTGGAAGCAAGCAGTGATTTTTATTTAATTTTTAAAAATATTTTACTAAGCTAACAAATACATATTTGCTGTCCTTTAGTTTAGCCAAAGCAGTTTGTTCCAGAATTTTCCACTTGGGTTGCAGCGCCGGACTCTTAAAGGCATAGTCGCGCTCGCGTGGCTGATTTTCAGGGGCAAAATTACATTGACTTCAATGGAATTTGCCAAGATAAACATCACAGACTTCCAGGGCCAAAAATCCCATGTGCAAAAAAACTTGTTCTGCTTAAGCACTGTTGAAATTGAAATTGAAAATTGTTCTTTCATGTTCATTTAACAGAATTAGTGCTTCCAAATGGTCTGTCGTGTGTTTAGGATGAACTGCTGCTGAATATTTAGTTGTCATTAATTTTTTAAACAGTTTTTGCTGCAATATTCAGCCATATTTCCACCCTGAGAGGACGAGTGGGCCGCTCAGTTAATTTCTGTGCCAATATATATATATATATATATATATATATATATATATATATATATATGTCGGAACAAAACCTCATATCTCCAAAAAGGTAACTTTATAGGAGAAGAAAAAAAATTATATATTTAGCTTTTAATGTAAGTCAAAGGAACCAGAGGGCAACAGTCATTTTCAAATTATGCCAAAACTGGAAAATGACAAAAATGGAGATACAAGATTTGTTCTGACAACAGCGATTGTGTGTATATATATATATATATATATATATATATATATATATATATATATATATATATATATATATATATATTCTTTTTTTTCCTTTATTTTTTTAAGTGATGTTTTGGCCAGCAGTAAGACTTACTCTGTCTTTGAATGGCACCAAATGATGATCTGAGAAAACTGGACATGCTGGGATTCTTCCACAGAAGAGAGCTGAAGTGACACATCTCAACAGCAACACATCGGGCCAGTTTTCTGACGGTGTTTGGCGTGAACTTCTGTGCACATGACCCACACTGCCATTGGGCCAGGTTTAATTCTCTGTTTAATGTTTGATACCACAGTTTTTTTACCATTTTTTTTAAGACAGAAAGCGCAACAAATAACCTGCTAAACCCAGCGCGAAGCTGTTTAATCAAGTGAACATGCAGCCAAAATGTTACATTTACATAATTTTCCCATTTCTCCAAATGCGGTTCATCAGCCAAGACATTCCCTGCTGAAAAAAACAGCCCAGACCAGTACGAATCCCATGCTGGTTTATGCTGGCCTAGTGCTGGTCTGGTGCCGGCTGGTTGACCAGCATACCAGCATCCAAAACACAGTGTATGCTGGGTTTGCTGGTTTTTCTAACAGGGCATGCAGCGCACCCTTAAGTAGCTCTTTGATGGTGATGGTTATATATACGCCATGATGATTCATTCAAATGGTTCTTTGCATGGTTCTCTGTGATGGAGAACTTCTCATATATGAGAAAATGGTTCTAGCACAAAAATCATGCCATGTAGAACCTTGTTTTGTGCTTTATAGAACCTGTTTTGTTAAGAAGCTAACTTCAGGAAGCTTATAGCCACCAGCTGGCAGTGTGCACACTCACCTCAAACCGCGTGGAGTTGAACATCACAGAAACCATTAAATGTTTCTACTGGTTCCAGTGTCCAGTAGTGAATAATGGCAATTTGTGTTTTCCTGATGGGCTGATATCACAGTGTAAAGGACTATAATGGTTTAATGGGTGTTCTGGGACTGATTCCAGATGCATTTGATGGTTTGCAAATAAAGCAATAAGCCACGAGAGGCCATGGGTTACTCCTCTTCCCTGTGATAAAATCGCAGTAATGCACAGCCTTTCATTGCTTATGGTTTTCATAAAATGACGGCCAACATAAAATGTGACAAAATACACAATGGTTCAGAAGATAATTTGAATTACTAATAGTAATAATTGATATAAACAAATATTCCGGCAAGAAATGTAGTTCCTTTAGAGTACTGTATCATTACCAAGCAACCATGGACCGCTGAATGAGGAGAACATTCGGTCGCCCATCGCTGTGCACTGCAGTCACTTCATAAAGTTTTTAAACTTTTTGTCGTATAGCAGTGAATATATGATAACACAGCACTGTTTAATAGAACCTTCGCTTTATAAGTACCTTTTGGTCACCAAATTACCACCGTGAGTCTTATTTAGCACCAATCCAGCGGCTGCCTACATAGTGCACTACGTAGGAGTTTAAATACTGGATCCTGCAGCCCAACAGAGCAAAATATAACTAAGAAATTTGGGACTCAGACTCATCCACACCTGATACATGATGCACTGTTTGGCTGTAGAGGCTTGAATTCCTAAACTTCCATAGCTAGAACACTATTTAGGGAGTCTGGCGCCGTTTGGGATTCAGCCTGGGTTTGACGTGACTTCTGACTGAAACAGGGACATTTGAAGTGTGTAAGACATTTAAGTGACGTTATTTAGTCTTTTATACTGCAGTTTTACAGTTAATCACACTGTAAGTGCTTTAATTCCAGCCTGTGATATTAATGATAGAGGTATTTAGGCTGTTGGCTCTTTTAGCCAGTTAGCTAGCTGACCAGCCTGGTTCTAGTTAAGAACATAAGTTGTCAGCCCCTCAGATTAAACAACAAAACGGGTTCTTACTTCATCACTCGGTGCTCCATGCGAGCAGCATGAGAGTCAAAGATTATTCATTAACAGCAGAAGGGTGTTTGTGCCGTGGCGCTGTGATACAGAGTTCAGATGCTGTGAGGCGTCATAGCTGTGCGTATATCATGGGTTTTACAACGGCTTCAAATGCGGCTCAGCCAATCAGATTTTAGGACCGAAACTATCCGTTTTATAATGGAAACTAAAGGTGTTCTATTGGAAGCTAGTGGTCTCTAATGGTAAACATTAAGCCAATTCCTGTTAGAAAGCAAAACAAACAGGTTATAATCCTGATGGTTCTATTAGTCTCTTTTCAGCAGGGTAATAGGCTGGATTATGTGGTTTCTGACGCTGTAAGGCGCACTTTTATCTAGAAACATGGACAAAAACAATGCTAACTGGTTTCAGCTTTCATTAGTTGAAGCTACATTAGCCGTGTAGCTCCAGTGTGTAACACTAAACACCAAACGTGTCTTGGCTGATGAACTGAATTTGCAGTCAGCAGGGAAAACAGTGTAAATGTGATTATTTTGCTGAACTACTGAGGAAAACATGACATTCTGTAGCGCAGGTAGTGATTAGCTTGTGAAAGCTAGCTTCAGTTAGCATCAGTGTTTCAGTGAGGCTTGACAGCAGACCCTGTTTTGGGGATCCACTGCTCTTTACACACACACACACACACACACACACACACACTCACACACACTCTCACACTCTCAGCACTTTGGGAGGGTTAGCTGCTGCGTTCCTCCGCTCTCGTTTTTCAGGTGTTGTTTTAGCTCTGAAGCAGAAGCACCGGTCACTGAGGACTGTTAGTGCAGCCATATTTAACAGATTCTACTGTTGTCATAACGATGTGTTTATTATCTGAAGTGTAAAATACTCCAAGGCTTCGTGCAGCTGACGCTTTTTACACTGTAAAAAATATATCTTGGCACACTGTAAAAAAACAAAGTGGTGTTTTGAGCTAATTGAAGATGAAATAATAAGTTGACAGAGCGTAAGACACAGATTCTCATTCTGTTCACTTACGCTGATCAGGCCGAACATTCTGACCACCTCCTTGTTTCTACGCTCATTGTCCATTTTATCAGCTCCACTTACTATATAGGTGCACTTTGTAGTTCTACAGTTACAGACTGTAGTCCATCTGTTTCTCTGATACTTTGTTAGCCCCCTATTACCCTGTTCTTCAGTGGTCAGGACCCCCATGGACCCTCACAGAGCAGGTACTATTTGGGTGGTGGATCATTCTCAGCGCTGCAGTAACACTGATGTGGTGGTGGTGTGTTAGTGTGTGTTGTGCTGGTCTGAGTGGATCAGACACAGCAGTGCTGCTGGAGTTTTTAAACACCTCGGTGTCACTGCTGGACTGAGAATAGTCCACCAACCAAAAATATCCAGCCAACAGCGTCCTGTGGGCAGCGTCCTGTGACCACTGATGAAGGACTAGAAGATGACCAACACAGACTGTGCAGCAGCAGATGAGCTATCGTCTCTGACTTTACATCTACAAGGTGGAGCGACAAGGTAGGAGTGTCTAATGGAGTGGACAGTGAGTGGACACAGTGTTTGAAAACTCCAGCAGCACTGCTGTGTCTGATCCACTCACACCAGCACAACACACACTAACACACCACCACCACGTCAGTGTTACTGCAGTACTGAGAATGATCCACCACCCAAATAGTACCTGCTCTGTGAGGGTCCATGGGGGTCCTGACCACTGAAGAACAGGGTAAAAGGGGGCTAACAAAGTATCAGAGAAACAGATGGACTACAGTCTGTAACTGTAGAACTACAAAGTGCACCTATATAGTAAGTGGAGCTGATAAAATGGACAATGAGTGTCGAAACAAGGATAATGTCATAATGTTATGCCTGATCGGTGTACAAATAAGTTCCAGTAGCTCAAAACTCAATTTAAGGCCTGGCAACTTTTTATTTTTACGTTAAAACACCGATTTAAAAAAAAATCATCTTAAATCTAATCAAAATATCTGTTTCTCATTATGAGATGTTTATAAGAATATTATAAGATTATTTATTGGTGTCTTTAACTCGTTTTAAGTCATTTTGTCTAATGAAAGTGTTGTACCACTTTATTTGGATCCTGCTATACTCTTTAAAAAGATGGTTCTTCAAGGGTTCTTTAGAAAAGACAGTGGTTCTATGTAGAACTATGAATGCTCAAAGAACCATTTGCATGCCTAAATGATTCTTCGGAATGATGGAGAATGTGCTGTATATGGTTTTGTTGAAAATGGTCCTATATAGCACCAAAGTGTTCTTCTGCTGTTACAAGCTTTACATCATAACAGTACAAGAACCCTGTTTGGTGCTATACAGAACCACATTCTCCATCAATCTGAAGAACAGTTTCACCATGCGAAGGGTTCTTTAAGTGTTCATAGTTGTATGTAGACTCATTGTCTTTAGTATAGAACCCTTCGAGAACCATACATAACACTGACATAACCATGCCATAAACATATCATGGCAGGTGTCATATCTAATTGTCATGACATGTTTATGGCATGGTTATGTCAGTGTTGTGTAGCAGCAAAAAGACAATTTTACAAGACAAAATAATTTAAAACAACCAAATAATGTCTAGAATGAGTTAAATAATCTTCAAAAATAGTCTCATAATGAAAAACACTGGATATTTAAACTAGTCCTAAGATGATCTCACTCTGCCAAGATACATATATTTTCAGTGTATCTTTCTTTTCTCGTTTTCTTTTCTTTCTTTTCGCTCATTGCTGTCTGATTCTCTTTGTCATGCTGGCGGCAGGCGTCTGCGAGCACAATCTATCGGCTGTTAATGAAGTGTGTGATATTCT